CCCCCCCGGGCGGGCGCGGACGCGGCGGGGGGGCGGGCCGGGGGCCGCCATGTTTGGTGCGGGCAGCCGGGCAGTCCTGGCTGCGGTTCGGGCCGCGGGGTTCGGGCCCGGCGCTGCTGCGGGGACATCCCGGGTGCGGGGGTGACCTCATGCCGGGTGAGGGGGTGACAGCCCCGTGCCGCTGTTCTGTCCTGGCTGGGGCTTGTGCCGTGTCCGCCCCGTGGGGCTGCCTGGGGCCGTGAGGCCTCTTGTCCTGGTTTGAGCCAGGATGAAGCCCGTTTTCCTTTTATTCATTTATTTTCCCTTCAGCAGGCTTTCTTCTAACTAGCACCAGAGTGTTCTAACTAAAGCTGGTAAGACAGTGAAATGTTTTTCTAACTGCTGGGTCTCCAAGGCCGCACCTTCACTCTGCCGGCTCATACACTATGGGGAGATCTGTGACCCCCTGTAGGAGGCTGAGTTAGACAGACAGCAAAACTGGCCAGAGATATTCCATTCTATGTATCTATGTGAACTCAGAGGAAGGTCAGAGATCACAGAAGAAACTTCCTTCCTTCTCCCCTTCCCTTCGGTCCATGGCCGGTGTCTGGGGACGACTCCATCCATCCATCACCCTCAACCCCCAGGCTGGAGCTCTCCTGACCCTCATCACTCTGTGCTCTCTCCAGCAGCAGCTCTGGGATTTTTGGGACTGTTCCCAGCTCAGGAGATGCTGTGGGAGTTGCTGGGGGTGGGGGGAGGCAAGAGGCTTTTGCACATATCTGAACACATTTGTATGTAATTGTATATATATTTTCTTTTATCATTAGTGTTTAATTAAAGCTGTGTAGTTTAGTTTTCAATCCAGCCAAGTCTCTCTCTTTTTCTCTCTCTCCTTCCCTACCTGGGCGGGAGGGGATCAGGAGCGTTGCTGCCGGACCTGAGTCAAACAGTGACAACAATTTATTGGCACCCAACATGGGGCCTGAACCACACAGCTCTGGGTGAGCCTGCTTTGGCTGTAAATAATTGCCTGTGTCTGGTCAGAGTGACCTCCACGGGTGGTTACAGCAGGTACCATAGTTGTCTGAATAACCTAAATAATCTTAGCACTTGTGTTGAACCAACACATTCAAACCCAGGTATTGCCATGTGCAGTTGACAGGGTTTTTGTAGTCTGGTTCAGTTGGAGCAGTCATGATTTTGTGAAAAATAGTATTTCTGAGTATGTATGAGCTCTAGTCCCTTTCTCCTTGTATCAATTATGTGCAGAAATCAGCACAAATTTGCTCAAAAACCAGAAGGATTTGAACTCGAATCCCAAGGGAGTTGGAGCAAGTCCATCCTGCAAGTACAAATTAAAGAGAGAATGTCTCTGGTATTTAAAGGCAAATCGTACCAGTACCAGGTTAGGAAAGACAAAGTAAGGGCAGAAATTCTATGAGGGTGATGAGACACAGGAACAGGTTACCCAGGGGAGCTGTGGATGTGCCATTCCTGAAAGTGTTCCAGGCCAGGTTGGATGGGGCTTGGAGAAACTTGGTCTAGTGGAAGGTGTCCCTTTAAGGTCCCTTCCAACCCAAACCATTCTGTAATTCTGTGGTAGTTGTAGTCATCAAGAGCAAGTTCCAGCAGATTCAAGATACATTCAGATCCAAAGCAAGGAAAGAAGTGCTCTGCTGAGCAGTTGCTGAATAGTTGTCAGGCAAGGTGTTCAGTGTGTGTCATGCTTAAGGCTCCTGCTTTTTGGTTTTCTCCAAAAAAAAACATGTGCCTAGCCCGGGCATTCCAGGCTAATTCATTCTGGATACATCAACCTGTGAGGTGCTTGTGCAAAGGTGCCCCAGGAGAGCCAGGGGAGCATGTGTGTGCTGGGAGCTCCTGCATATTGCTGCTCATTCATGATGGAAGTGGGGAAACAACTTGTGTCCTATCTTGGCATGGGTGCTAATCCATGGGAAGGCACCAGGACAGTGTGGGTTTTGGTTTTTTTCATATTTTCCCTCCTTCAGGCTGCTAATTCCTGTTGTGACTCAGATTAATCACAGAGCATCACCAAGTCCCCCTGTTCTCCATGTAACTGGAGCAATGATCAGTTGCCCACTGCTGTGACTTGAGGTCTGCAAATCCAGATAACCTTCCTGCTCACAACCCTCAAGCCCAGCCCACAGGATTGCACTGGCCCCTTCCCAGTCTGGATTTCAAATCTGAAGTGGTAGGAAATGCTCTGGGTCCTGTTGCACATGGAGTCAGGGTACTGATCACGGGACACACAGCTACACCAGGGAAGTCCTTTGTTAAAAACAGATGTGCTGACAAGTATTTCACGGACATGTAGTATCTAGTCACTTTGAAACACAAATACATCTTACCTTTCATCTAAGGGAAAGGAAGAGGGATGTACTCCTAAACCTGTGCTAATGAGCATCTGCTGGCCAGGGCCACCTGTCATGATAGCACATCCATCCTCTGGACTGCAGCTTAGGAAGACAACAACAGACCATCCTGGTAGCACGAACAGGTTTAAGTGTATTGTGGTTTTATTCATTGCAGTTCCTTGGCCCTCCTTATTTGCTCTATTAGACTCAGTACCCTATCTTTCTGTGAAGACCTACTTAGCTAATGCTTGTGTCTTCCTGCTAGTATTCCTGTGACAAGATCCCTTCTCTTTCTGAAGCCTTTAAAAATTATTAATTTTGACTTGACAGATGCAGAAGTATTTCCTCCTTTGGCCTTTCACATTGATTTGCTGTGTTTTCACTAAGGTTAATGCTCCTCAGACAAAATCAGCTCTCTTATCATTCTATTAGTTTGATTTTGGCCTAGCCCCATTTCCATCAGATTTTGATCGCTGCAGAATCTGTAACCATCACAAAGCTCCCATAATAAAATTGGATTCAGGAAAAAAAGCCCATAAATCTTCCTGTCACAAGGAACCAATTAAAACCCAATATGAGATTGCATTTGCTGGGAGTTCTTATAATTTATGAAGGTTGCAAACAAGCTGATTAATAACTCTTCACAACAGATTTCAGTCAGGTGTTGTATTACCTCAAATTATGGATGAAGCTGTGTGAAAGCATGAGCTATAGCTAAGAGAAAACAAGAATCCAGGGGCTACAAGAGATAATTACAACAACAGTGACAACCAGCAAAATAAATGCAACTCTTCAATTCAATTACCAAGGCAAAAAAAAGAGACTTTCTCTTGGCATTGGTGTTTCACTGATGAAGAATTCACTGATGGCATGACATGAAAAATACACCAAAGGAATATTTTATTTGGCCCAAGATACCTCTGCAGGTATTTTTCTGCCATGTATTTTAAGAATATTAATCTGCTGAGCATGAAACATAAAACACTATTGAGGCCTGCATTTTGAATTAATTAGCTCTGAAGTAGTTTCTGTTTCAGGTTTGAAGCAAAATACTGAGTAAAATTCTGAGTCAACAGTTAAGTTTTTTTTTTAATTTCTAATTCCACTATTGATCTGTTCAGTGTTTTTTCCCCTCTGTGATTTGGATCTTCAACCACAGGACAATTTGGAGAAGCACTTACTTAGGGAAGTAAGTTGCTGGGAGAATTGATCATGTGCTAGTACAAAATATCTACTGTAACTGCCCCATTCATTTGTGGTATCCACCATGCCTAAGGCTTTCTCCTGTAGAGTTGTCCCATTTTCCTCAGCTCAACATCCCAAGTTGACATAAGCTATGTAAATTGATTTTACTACACAAGCGTCTCTTTCTCACAGATTGTACCATCCTGTTAATATTTAGAATAAACTTCAGAATACAGAAGCATGTTTATCAGCCAGACGTGACCTGGTCTTTAAGCTTCATTTAGAAGAAAAGCACTCCTGCCCCTGTACCTGAAGAGCTGTGCTGCTCTCCATTAGCCATTGCTGATGGACAGCAGTAGCCCTTGGACTTCCTCCCATGGATCAACTTCTTCTCCTTGGGAATGGTCTGCATTACCTTGCCTAAAACAGGGGGGCCAGTGGTGTCTTCCATGTACCCTCTCCAAAACAGGACCTTTCTTCAGGTGCATGAATATGCCTTTTCTCCTCACCAGCCAAAGCACTGAGCTGCGATCTACTCATAGACCCCATGAACACAGTGGTGAAAGGATAACCAATGAGAAAAATTGATACTTCTTTTAGCTAATCTCCCTTAAAATTGGGATCCAGTGTTCCTGGAAGTGAAACCCCTCCCAAAAAAACAGCAGGAAAGGCCACAGACCAGTTGCTGTTGGACATAGACCGGTCTTATATTTCCTAGGAACAGATAACACAGGTTGTACACCATGTTATGGAGAGTGAGCACAGGTCTCCTGTGCAGTGAGGGACTGTCAGGAGGGACTGTCCTTTTGTAGCTCAATAGTGACAATTTCTTTCACCATTTCTGGTGTACATGGAAACTGAGAAAACTCAGCTTTTAGGACTAAAACCATTGTTAATTGTAGTCATATTATAATTTGTCCTGACATTAAGACCTTTCAAGATATATTCTGACTGAATTGTATTCATGATTATCTGCATAACAGGTTGTTTGTTTTTCTTTTCAAATGAAAATAAAATTGCATTGATGGAGATCTGTTAAGCCCTGAACTCCTTTTACTTACTCTCTCACCTCCTTTGGCCCTCACCAACCTCGCTGGATTTACTAAATCCAGTGTTCTCTTGCAATGGGACACAGTAAATCCTGTCATCATAGCTGTCAATTTTCTGATTAGAAATTCCCACTTTGGAAATACTTGAAGCTTGCTTGGCTCTTTTACCATTTTATCTGATCAATGCTAAAAAACCAACACTGTGATCAGACAGCAGCAGTTTGTGATGACTGTGGCACCATCCTAACAACCTTGGGTCCGTGAAGTCAATTGCTTTCACTCACACCAGTTCTGCAGGAAGCTTGTGAACCACACAGACCTTCAGGGGGGGTTTAAGTGACCCTCTCCACAAAAGACATTTTCCCCACCCTTCTGCTCATTTCTTTCTGCAGTAGGAAAATGCAGATCCCTGCTATCCTGAGCAAATTCCTGATGATTGATTGCTTTTAATTCTGAAGACCTTTTTAACTGGTGAGTCCCTCAGATAAGGGATGGTTAGAGTAAGGTTTGGGGATCAGGACACCCCATCTTTTGTTAAAATAATTACAAATGTACAATTGCATTTTATTATAGTTTTGCCCTTTGCATAAAATATACCCCAGCACAGGTGCTCTTGTTATAAATGCAGTTACTTTTGCATTTGATCTTCCAAAGGTCCAAGTATTTCTACAGATGACACTACCTACGCACGGAGGATTCAGGCTTCCTAGCTCTGGCAGCCAAACATCTCAGGGACCAGAGCACTATAATGTCAACTGAGGAAACATTCAGGCTTCTTATAATGTGAATTTCAAAGTGGAAGAGTGAGCCAAGAAGTAATAAAGTGATATTGAAAATAAAATGTTGAACTTTCATATCCCAGTTGTGTGATCATCCCACCCTGCCCCTTCTGAACATCCAGCTCACAGCTCCGGCAATCAGAGTGAAGTGGGCTGGGCATAAACAAAATTTGTGGTGCCCCTCAGTGAGCCTAACAGACCTACCACAGAACAGGATGGCACAGATTTAAGTACTGGTTGTAGCAAGTTCTGGAATATTTGCTTCCAGAGATTCTGTTTTGAACAGTGAATTTAAAAAATAAAAATCTTTCCC